TGGGGATGCCACGTGCCCTAAGACAAAAACCCCCCAAAAAAAAAAAAAAAGAAAAGAAAAGAAAAGAAAAGAAAAAAAAAGAATAAAGTGTAGGAGGTGGCAGGTGGCGTGAAGGTTAAGGGCACTGGACTCCTACATGGCTGACCATGGTTCGAGTCCTGGAGCTGGTGGCTTGCTTTCTCACTTCTCTAGATCTATCCTTCCTTGGTCAAATTAAAATAAATAAAATAAATAAATAAATAAAGTTCAATAAAATACTTTTTTTTGGGGGGGGGAGAGGTCTTTACTACAGGGCACGTGCGCTCGTCAGACAGACAGACAGAGAGACAGAAAGCGAGAAATCACCCCTCGGGGGGATGGCCACGCTGCAATCCCTTCTCCTCCGTTCTCCATGGCCATACCGCAATCCCTTCTCCTCCATTCTCCTCTCGGGATCTTGGGCATGCATGCACATGCGCCCGGCGTGAGTTTTAAGCCACCGGTCTGGGACACGAACCGCAGTCAACTACGTGGGAGTCCAGCGACATAGCCATTACGCTAACTGCTGGTTCCCTCTTTTAATGTTTTTAATACATCTTCCAATCTTTCCTTGCCTGCATTGTTTCAGTTGAGAAGTCTGACATTTGCCTAATGGGATAACCGTTATAAGTAACTTGATGATTTTCCCTTACCCTTTTCAGAATATTGTCTTTGTATTTAATTTTTACCAATCTGGCTATGATGTTCTAGGGGGAGGATCTTTTTGTGCATATTCTATTTAGAAACCTTTTTGTTTCCTGGGTCTGAATTTCTCTGTTTTTCTATATTTGGAAAATTTTTAGGTAGTATTTCATGGAAGAGTTTTTCCATGTCTTTAGCAGATTCTTTACCTTCTGGAATACCCACTATATGGATATTTGGGCATTTCATGGTATCTAGGATTTCCCGTATGTTGTCCTCATATTTGTTGGTTGTTTTTTTCTTTCTTTTTGGTGATTTGGTCTGTGTTGTAGACTTTGTATTCAGGGTCAGAAATTCCTTCTTCTGGGGGTCGGCAGGTGGTTTGGTAGTTAGGGGCACTGGACTCCCACATTACTGACCCCATTTCAAGTTCAAGACCTAGTGGCTTGCTTTCTCACTTTCCTCTCTCTCACTCTGTCCCTCTCTGGTCAAATTAAATAAAGCTAAATAAAGCAATTTTAAAAAAGAAAAGAAATTCTTTCTTCTACGTGGTCCTATCTGCTGTTTATGCTTTTTAGGGAGTTTTTCTTTTCTTTTCTTTTCTTTCTCTTTTTCTTTTTTTTTTTTTTAAAGAGGTTTTTGCTATAGGGCACGTGCGCTCACCAGACAGACAGAGACAGAGAGACAGAAAGCGAGAAATCCCTCCTCGGGGGGGATGGCAAAGCCATAATCCCTTCTCCTCTGTTTTCCTCTCAGGATTTTGGGCACGCACGCACACACGCCCGGCGTGAGGTTCAAGCCACCGGGTCCGGGACACGAACCACGGTCGACTACGTGGGAGTCCAGCGACATAGCCATTACACTAACTGCTAGTCCCGGGAGTTTTTACTTTCTTGTATTTTTTATTTCCATAAGGTCTGCTTGATTATTTTTTAAGATGTCTATTTCTTTATGAAATTCCTCTTTCATGTTCTAAAATGATTTTCTCATTTTCTGGAATTGATTGTTTTCTCTTGCATCTCATTGAGTTTTGTTGCTATGAGTATCTGTCATTTTTCTGACATTTTTGTGTATTCCTCTGTGCTATCCACTGTTGGTGAGGGCCTACTACGCTCACCTGGGGGAAGTTACCACCTTGTTTTCTCATACTTATTCAAGATCTGTGTTGGTTTCTAGTCACCTGCTGCAGTATTCACTGTTTTCTATTTATTGGAGTAGATTCTGTAGTGCTGGTAGAGGAAATTTCACCCTTAGTTCCCTGATGTGTTCCTTTTTAAAAAAAAAAAAAAAGAATGATTTTATTTCACTTTATTTATTTATTTATTTATTTTCTTTTGACCAGAGAGACAGAGTAAGAGAGAGAAAGTGAGAGAAGCAAGCCCCCAGGTCTGGGACTCAAACCACAGTCAGCCATGTGGAAATCCACACCCTTAACCATCACACCATCTTCCTCCCACCCCCACGTGTTCCTACTGGAGGACTCTGTCTCCCAGGTTAGAGCAATTATGGGTGACTTCAGGTATTTGGCTACTCTATTAAGCGTTTAGCTCTTGATGAGGTGATAGCAAGCTAATGAGATATAACTTAGTGAAAAGGATCAAGTCGCAGTGTATGGGTTGGTTTACCAGAAGTCACAAAGTTGCTCCCGGTCTGTGAGCACAGACTCACCCAAGGAGGCTAGCCCAGACCACGTCCAAGCTTCCCGGTGGGCATGTGTGGTGAACCCAGGCCCCTAGAACGATGGGCAACAGTGCAGCAAAAATTCTAAAGTTGCTTCCAGGTCCCAAGTGTGGCTCACCCAATGAGGCCTCCCCAGACCAGACTCTCCAAGTTCTGTTTTTAAGTTTTTGCTTGCCACAGACTTGTACAAAAGCTTCACATCAAGGAGTCACCTATAGTCTTGATTTGATTGCAAGTCTTAATTTGTGTAACAGGCAATCACTTCAGACTGTCATGGTTTGGAATGTTCTATGGCTCCCTTAGTCTTAGAATCAATTGGTGTGATATGTAATTTGTATAGGAAAACCTTTGTTCATAGTGTTAATGATTGTGTTCTTGATTCACCTTCAATGCTATACTGGTGCCATCAAAAACCACCAATGTGAGATTCATTTCTCTTAAATATCGAACAGTGATTAGACAGACTCAATATTTATGCAGAGAATAGTCACCTTTCTCTTATCAGGAAGACTGTGTTTCCCATTAAATATTAATGTAATTTCTGAATGCCTTTTGAATTTTGTTCCATTGGATGGTATTAAGACAATATTTTTACATTTAGCAAGACTCTGTACATCTTTTTCAACAGTAGTTTATTATTTAGGCACAATGTGCATACTAACATGTATTTTTTTTTTTTTGAGAGGTTTTTGCTATAGGCCATGTGCGCTCACCAGAAAGACAGCGAGAGACAGAGAGACAGAAAGCAAGAAATCACCACCACCACCACCACCACCACCCCCAGGAGGGAAGGCCACGCTGCAATCCCTTCTCCTCCATTCTCCTCTCAGGATCTTGGGCATGCATGCACATGTACCCAGCATGAGCTTAAGTCACTGGGCCTGGGAATTGAACTGCAATTGACTACATGGGAGTCCAACGACATAGCCATTACGTCAACTGCTGGTCCCAAAATTCAGTTTTTTGAAATTTTTGAAAGTCGTTTATCAAGAACTATGGAGTATGAGTAAAAATTTTTTGATATGTAAAGTAAACGTTTGTGGGAAACTGTAAAAATAAATAAATAAATAATTTTAAAAAAAGAGAGACACACAAACACACACAAAAAGAATCCATAAAGGGAGGGGGCCAGCAGCTGGTGTGGTGGTTGAGGACAGTGGACTAGCACATGCCTAAACTCAGTTTGAGTCCCAGACCTGGTGGCTTGTTTTCCCACTTTCCCTCTCTCTCTCTCTTGCTCTCGTTCTCACTGTGTCTCTCTCTGGTCTAATAAACTAAGTAAATAATAAAGTTAAATAAAATAATACTTTGAAAAAAATCCATTAAGGAAGAACCAACAGGTGGTATGGTAGTTAAGGTGCTGGCCACTCTCACATGGCCAACCATGGTTTGAGTCTGGGACCTGGTGGCTTGCTTTCTCACTTTCCCTCTCTCTCTCTCTTGCTCTCGTTCTCACTGTGTCTCTCTCTGGTCAAATTAAAATAAATGAATGAATAAATAAAAATTAAATAAATAATTCTAAAAAATATCCATAAAGGAATTCAAGATTTTTGGCACATAGGCACACACATCTGACGTGTTTCTTAGGGCACCGGGACAAACTGTACAGTTGTCCATGTGTGTTCCGGCTGCCTTCTTCACAAACAGAATGGCCCTAGTATGATCTTTTTTTATTAAGCATGCAAACATGATTAGATATGCTTTTGTTTTTATCTTCATCTATCATGGTCACTTAGGAGCATTGTCTGATATTGGAGGAGTGTGTCATATTTACTTTCAGCAGCACAAAAGTTGACCTTGGCGATGAGTGTGAATCCACCTTTTAGACTTCTGGAGTTGTTTTTGCCTTTCTTAAGTGTGCTCTTTGATATAAGGGGTATTGGTCGCACAGTGGAGCAGTGCCTAACTAGATAAACTCACATACTCCTGAACACACATGCGCTCGCTAGAAAGAAAGAGACAGAGAGACAGAAAGCGAGAAATCCCATGTCTAGGAGGAAAACACAGCAAGGTCCCATTGGGTGCAGGAAGAGGCTGGTGTCTTTGGAAATCCAGGCGCGGGTTCTGCTCAAAAACAAATATCCTTGGGAACCAGCAGTTAGCGGAATGGCTATGTCGCTGGACTCCCACGTAGTCGACCGCGGTTCGTGTCCCGGACCCGGTGGCTTAAAACTCACGCCGGGCGTGTGTGCGTGCGTGCCCAAGATCCCGAGAGGAGAATGGAGGAGAAGGGATTGCGGCGTGACCATCCCCCCTGGGGGGTGATTTCTCGCTTTCTGTCTCTATGTCTCTCTCTGTCTGTCTGGCGAGCGCACGCGCCCTACAGTGAAAAATCTCTCCAAAAAAAACAAAAAACAAAAAACAAATATCCTTCCGGGACAGCCAGCCCAGAGCCGGGGCCAAGGAGCTGTCATTCCCATGCAGTCCTGCATGTCTCTGGGTGCATCTGCCGTCATTTAAGCGTCAGGGGGCGGGGCCCCACGCCCTGCCAATCAGGGGCTGAGAGGCGGGCCCTGCGAGCTTGTCAGCGAAGTCTCGCGAGTCTTTACGTCAGCTGCCGGGCTGGGCGTGTGGCTCTCTCCTGACCCGTGTGGTGACTCCGTGTTCGCTGCTGCTCGGCGCCTCTGAGGCGTGCACAGACCGTGGGAGGGAACCGTAGGAGGGACGCGGGGCCACCCTGGACGCTGGGAAATGGTGAGTGTGCGGAGACGGGGAGCAGGGGCGCTGGGAGCTGCCGGAACCGGCTGTGGCGGACCAGGGCCTCTCTGGCGAGTGCACACACCATAACAGAAACCACTCGCGCTTCTGCGCCCCGAGTCCTTCGCTGGCGCAGCTCGGTCCTCGATCCCCACCAGCCCGGAGCCGGGACTGGGCCGCAGGGGACCCCCGGGCTTCCTGTCCCGTGCCTGCGCTGGCACCTGGACGCCGTCGGGACAGGACGGTCGCGTTCTGTTCGCGATTCTCGTGCAGAGAGGGCCTGTGGTCTGGGGCCCCCCGTCCTCCCTTCTCCCCACAGGTCACCCGTCCCCCCACCCCCCCACGAATGCTCCAACGTGGCGGAGGCGGGGTCTCGAGGCCTCAGCCGTTTCCCCCAGCTCAGCCCTGAGGATAAAAGATTGTTTTGAGGATTTGGGGGAAAGTGGCGTGATTTTTCACTTTTAATATCTGTTTCTGTCTCTCCCCTGCCAGTGCACATGCCCAATAAGGGAAGGAAAGAAAAAAAAAAAAAAGTAACAAGTTGTTTTTAGAGCATGCAATGTGCATTATTTATTTATTAGAATGATTTTATTTGACCTTATTTATTTATTTATATCAATTCGACCAGAGAGGGGCAGAGTGAGATAGAGAGCGAGAAAAGTGAGAAAGCAAGCTGCCAGATTCGGGACTCGAACTATGATTGGCCATGTGTAACTCCAGCACCCTCAACCACCACGGCCACCTACCGGCCCCGTATTTATAATTAATATAAATACACTTTTTTTTTTAATAGCTTTTGAATATATTTCCAGAGAGAGACAGGCACCCACCCCCATGGCATCCTTGCAGGCAGTTTGGATCAGTGGCTCCCCTTCTTGTAGACCTTGGAATACAGTTCTGGTTCCCTACCATAAGACCACAGCATTTGCCAGCACCATCCATACTGCTGGCCTTGGACTCCCAGGCCTAAATCCACTTTGAATTAATGTTGTAACTTAGCTGACTCAGGAGTACTGCAGGTATCTTAGATCATTCCCAAGTACTCCCTCGTTCATTTTAATCTTGATGTCAATTTATGTTAATCTGTCAGGAGCTAATGCCCCTCAGTACATTGTTCATGTTATTATTCTGAATGAACATTTATTAGATTGGCTAAGAGGAGACCACAGGTCCATCTGGTGGTACATCAGTAACACACTGCTCATCCAGTCTGGATTTTTCAGGAATATGGTGTATTTTGTTCTGGGTTATACCGTAACAGGAGGCATGCATTATCAAGATTCTTTCTGGTGAATGCCAGAGGGTAAGGAGTTTGCAGTATGAACACATGTTGACTGTGCCTCTTCCTTTCATTCTGCCTTTCGCTTTCTCTGCCTTTTACTGTTGTGAAAGAAATACATTATTTTTTGGCCTTTTTTCAAGCCTTCACAGTCCAGGACTCAAACTGCTACCTGGCCATGTGGGAGTCCAGTGACTGAACCACTGTGCCACCTGCTCATCCTGAGGAAAATTTTACATTTATTTTATTTTTATTTTTTGAGAAGTTTTTTCTGTTATGGTGTGTGCACTCGCCAGAGAGAGACAGGGTGAGGGAAAAATGAGAAATCAACCCTGAGGGAGTGGCCACACCACAGTCCCTTCTCTTTCCAGATTCTTGGACAACCACACACATACACCTGGTGTGAGTTTTCAGCCTCTGGGTTTGGGACTCAAATTCGTGGTTGACATAGTGGGAGTCCATCCACATAACCATTATGACATCTATCAGTCCCAAACCCATGTTAATGTATGTAATGTGGGTTTTTAGGGTCCAATGCATATTGGAGGAAAACTACCTACATAAGTAGTATAGAAAACTTTCACCTTCTCCATGTACTTTCAAGTACATAAAATAGCTCCTACAGGTGAGAAATCTTGAAGAATGTGGAAAAGCTTTCACTACTGCACCAACTTTCTATCATACAAGACAATATATACTGAAGAAAGCTATTATTACTATAGTGTGTGAAAAATCATTCAGCATAAAAAACAGAGACTGAGGGCCTGGCAGGCAGTATGGTGGTTAAAGGCACTGGATTCCCACTTGGCCTACCGTGGTTTGAGTCCTGGGCCTGACAGCTTGCTTTCTCGCTGTCCCTTTTTCTCTTTCTGTCTCTGTCTGATCAAATTAAAATAATAATAATAATCAGACTGGCAGGTGGCATGATAGTCAAGGGTGCTGGCTTCCCACATGACCAACCACAGTTCAAATCCTGGACCTGGCGGCTTGCTCTCTCACTTTACCTCCCTCTCTCTCTCTCTTGCTCTCACTTGCTCTGACCCTCTCTGGTTATTAAAATAAATAAATAAATGGATAAAGTTAAATAAAATAATTCTTTAATAATAATAAATGAATCTTTATTTTTTAAAATAATTATTTTATTTAACTTTTTATTTATTCATTTGTTTATTTCAATTTTACCTGATAGGAAGAGAGAGAGATAGAGAGGGAGAGAGTGATAAAGCAAGCCACCATTCTGAGATTCAAACCGTGGTTGACCACGTGGGAATCTAGCACCTTTAACCACCAAGCTACCTGCTGGCCCCTAAATGAATCTTTAAAAAAATAATAACTAAAAGAAAACAGAGATTGAAGCCATCAGGTGGCAATGTTTAAGGTGCCAAACTACTACAAGGCTCACAACTATTTGAGTCCTGAACTCAGCAGATTGATAATTACACAGGACACATTTGTGTGTGTGCCCAAAATCCTGACAGGAGATTGGAGGCAAACGTAATGCGATGTGTCTATTCCTTGAGGGGTAATTTTTCACTTTCCCTCTCTGTCTTTCTCTGTGGTACACTCATGCCTTACAGCAGAAATCTGAAAAAAAAAAAAGAAAAAATGCTTTATCTGTAGTCTACTGGTTATCAAAGCCGGATCATACATGACCAAGTGCCATTTGAATTCGAGGTGAAACTGATAGAAAAATGCTGGGGATGCATATGACCAAAATGCTGAGAAGATAGAGGAGTGGATGGGGGTTGAAATATGACCACACCTCAAGTGAGATTTTTATTGTTTTGCCAGAGGACATGCACTTTCATTGGAGAGAGACAAAGTAAGAAAACACTTCCCCTTGGGGAATGGTCGTGCTACAATCACTTCTCCATTTCTCCCTTCTTTGGGCATTTTGGTCATGCACGCACACATACCCATCATGTTTCTCATGCAGCTAGGTACAGGACTTGAATCACATAGTTGGCTTTGTGAGTTCCATCCTTATTCACCACATCACCAGTTGGCCGGGGAGCTTTTTTCTCTGTCTGTCTTTGGCAAGTGTATGAGTCTTTTTGGGAAATAAATGTGGAAGGGGTTTTGTTATCACATAGACTTGACCGCAAGGAAACACCTATTGCAGAGATTTACTATTTTTTTAATAATTATTTTTTATTCAACTTTATTTATTTATTTATTTATTTTAATTTTACCAGAGAGGGACAGAGCACGCACAAGAGAGAGAGGGAAAGTAAAAAAGCAAGCTGCTAGGTCTGGGGCTCAGACCATGGTCGGTCATGTGGAAGTCCAGTGTCCTTAACCACCACACCACCTGCCAGCTTCGCAGAGCCCTGCTACTAATGTTAAAGGCTAGAATTCAGCCACCATGACCTGTGTACTACCTGGTGTCCTTCCACCTTTTTTTTTCCCCTTCAATTGGCCAAAAGGCACATTCTCTCACCAGAGAGATAAAGCGAGAGACCGGGAAAGTGAGCTACTCCCTATTGGGAATGGTCACGCCATACTCATTTCTCTGTTTCTCTTTTTCTTCAGGATTTTTGGCACAAACGCATACATATGTGGTGTATTTCTCAGGGTGCCGGGGCCAGGATTCAGACTGCACAGGTGAAGTCAGCTGGATCCATCTGTGATCCAGACAGACTGGCCCTAGTGTTTTTTTTTTTAAACATGCAAACATGGTTAGAGACACTTTTGTTTCTACCTTGATCTATTATGTCCTCTTAGGAGTATTGTCTGATAATATAGCAGTGTGCATATTTGCCTTCTAGTTGGCCATGCAGTGAGTGTGAGGCCAGCTTCCAGATGTCTGGAGTTGTTTTTAACCTTTCCTACTCTTTTGAATACTAAAGTATGTGTTTGTCACAAGTACCTAGCATGAGTTAAGCTGCTAGATCCAGGACTCAAACTGCAGTCAATTATGTGGGAGTCCAGCAAGATAACCATTACACTATCCTTTGGTCCCTTCATGTGTACTTCTAAAAATCCTTAGGACCAGCAGTTGGCATAATGGCTATGTTGCTGAACTCCTATGTAGTCGACTGCAGTTCGAGTCCTGGACCTGGTGGCTTAAACTCACGGCAGGCGCATGTGCATGCATGCTCAAGATCCCCAGAGGAGAAGGGATTGCGGCATGGCCATCCCCCTGAGGGCGTGATTTCTCACTTTCTGTCTCTCTGTCCCTCTCTCTCTCTTTCTGGCGAGTGCACATGCCCTATAGCAAAAACCTCTCAAAAAAAAAAAAAAATCCTTTAGACCAGCAGATGGCATAGCATTTACATTGCTATACTCCCACATAGGTGACCACATTTTGAGTCCCAGATCCGGTAGCTTGAAAGTCACACTGGGCACATGTGGGTACACACCCAAAATCTTGGGAGGAGAAAGGAGGATAAGGAATTACAGTATGGTTAACCCCCCAGGGGTGTTTTCTCACTTTCCCTGTGTTTATCTCACTGTGTTTATCTCTCTCTCTCTCTCCTCTAGTGAGCATACCCTCCCTAAGGCAAATAACTTCCTTAAAAAATCCTCTGGGCTGGCTCCATGACCTGGTGGTTAAGGCAACTGGATCCCACATGTGTTACAATGTGATTTGAGTACCAGTACCTTGAGAAACTTGACAGGTGTGCTTGTGTGAATTGCCAAAATCCCACAGGAAGAGAAAGATGGAGAAGAGAGTGCAGCATGATCATGTTAATTGCAGCATGACCATGTTGCAGCA